TTATTTATGAGTTTTTATTCTGTTAACTTGAGAACAAAGGAATAATATATAATTTTAGTTAGACTATTTTGAAAGCTAAGATTAGGAAAGGAAAAACCCCAGTTTGTCAATCAGGGTTGCTTTTACATTGTTTTGCTTTTGTTTCTGACTCTGTGTAACAGCCTATGAGAGAGCCTTGTCTGTTGTTGAATCAGAACAAGACAAAGCCCATATCTTGACAGCTCTGGCAATAACGGAGTATAAACAAGGAAAAATGGATGTAGCCAAGACGTTGCTATTTAAATGGTATGTATAGTTAACATCAACACTTAAGATGACCAGATCCTTAAATATTGGGTGAAAATTTAGAGTAACGTAAAATGACATTTTTAATGTTTTAGGAACGTTTTGGTGAATAAAAGGGATTGGACCTACCTGGTTTTGAACAGTCACAGTTAGAGCTGGAGATTAGATTTAATCTTAGTCCTGGATCCATCCAATTCTTCAAAGTCATTTTGTACTCTGGGTGTATTATTTATTTTTTAAAAAGGGTAATTGATCACCTAATCTGGTAGGATCTTGAAATTTTTATTAAGGCAGCAATAACTTGCTTGTTTTGGTCCTGTGGGTTCCCAAAGAGATTTTTTTTTTCCTCTTCCCTTTTCAGGTTTACCTGATAAAGTTCAGGTAAAATTGAGCCTTTAAAAAAAAAAACACAATATAACTTATAACTATTTATATAATTTCTGTTACTAAAACAACATCCTCTGATATCTATGGTTATTTATGTGGTATTTTTTTACTTGAAATTTTTTCTTTCTTGTGAAAGCTTAATTCCTTCAAAAGTAGTAGATGATTAATAAATGCTATTGAGACAGTGGTTATCAATGAGTGCTTTATTGGCATTTTAAGGGTTATGAATCCTCATAGTACAAAATTGCCTCCCTATTGCAGCGAGATTGCATCCTTGTCCCACATCTGTTAAGTGCTAATAGCGCTCTTCAATCGTTGTGAAAACTAAGTGTCTCCATGTATCTCCAGTTATGCTCCCCCATCCAACGGTGGGGGCAGGGAGATGATTAGCTGGTATTAGTTGAGAACGACTTCTGTAGGATAAGCTCTATATTTGTGTATTCATTGTGATACTTTTGTCCCATCCTGAGTAAAGTAATTTTCTTGTATAATAAATAAACAGTTCTTTCTCCTCCTTTAAGCTATTTTGAGAAAACCAATCAAAAATTTTAAAAAATCTTGTCACTTTACATGGATGCACTCATGTAATGTGAATATATGGCTATGTAACATTCAGAGAACCCAAAGTTGCAAATGGCTTGGGGAGAAGAATCAAAGATGCCCTTGTACTACTGGAAGTATCAAGAACAAAAGCAACCCCAATTTAGACACAATTAGATTAGTCTTGGGTTACTATTTAAAACAGTAACACTAGTGGAAGTAGGGAAAAGTGATAGAATATAGTCTTATTCTTTTTGCCTTTTATTGTGA